ACAGTCCCAATCTTCTCCTACCCTTCTCTCCCATTAGGAATTTCACCACACCCATGATAGTTCGTCTGCCAAGGGGCAGAAGATCCATTATAGGTGCTCTGTAGATTCCCATCCCCAATTGCAACGAAGACAAGTGGCACTTAGTAGCTCCATTCCTCTGGATTGCAGCCACAGCGCAGAGGCTGTTAGAACTTGTGACCAGCATCGACTGTGTCGGCATCAAGCCTGAGCTTGCCTGTTGCTGTGAAGGTAGTTTTTTTTTCAGCATTCTCCATAGGCTATGAAAGTCCGGGGCTGTTACAGCTTCACTCTGGTTCTTTTTTTTTCTTTTTTCTTTTTTTTTTAAAGAAACATCGGCGAGGGTGGGTGGGTGGGGGGGGTTCTGGTAAGAGCAGTCAACCCCTCTACGCCCTCGTTATTGGATGGCTATGGAAGCGGTGCCAGGCCACATCCACTGGTCATGTCTTCGTCATTCTACGTATGGCCACTCCCACCTTAGTTTTATACTAGTAGAGGGGTATCTTTTTGTCTGCGTCCAAAGTCAATCCATAGAGGATTGGGTCCACTTTGTAGGCCTCGGCAGCTCCCCGCAGCAATTCCCCTAATCGGCGTAATCGCATAACCTTCGACTGTTTCTCCCGAACTCTTGACTTCCGCTTGTGATACGCAACCTCACACCCCCTTGCAGCTTCCCGTACGGGGTCGCCGCTCAGAGTTCTAGGAGGGGCGTGGCAGAGGATTTTTGGCCGTAAGGGTTGAGTCTCCCGGACGGAACGGGAGGCTCTCGTTTCGTGGCCGAGGTTTTTCTCGGAGTCGAACTGCCGCCGCGGAGTCGTGTGGGGGCCGAATCACTCCGAAACGACAAAATCAAAAAGGTTTCCGCAAAAATGAACTGCCGCCATGCATCGGGACGGAGAAAGGCATCGAGGGGAGTGGGCCATGGCGGCGGAAGACAAAACTTCGATCGTCCTGGGCATCAACATTAAGGATAACCAGAGTGGCCGGGCCCCACTTGCCCGGTCAGGCCCAAACAAAAAGGAAAAAAAGGAAGGAATTTGGATTTGACCCTGAGGCAAAAGTGGTTGGCTCAGTTGGTAAGGCTCGCAAAGTGGGGCATTCAGGAGGTCGGGGGTTCAATCCCCCTAAGTTGGCCTCATGTGGCTTCCTGGGCATGCTTGCCGCGCGGCACCAAGAAATAAGACCGCTGGATCCCCCTATCGATCAGCATTGAGCAGAGTCTGCTGATGTTCGTAGGGGAGGTCACCATCACCTGAGGGGAGGCACAGCGATTGATCCTGTTGGCATGGTTCCCGATGCTCCAGGCTGTCCCCTGGCCAGTATCGCCCACGTGCGGATCGGGAGCAGGCCGGTATCGCCCACGTGCGGGTCGGGAGCAGCCCCCGCATGTCCTCTCATGAACACGGTGCTGCCTGCTACAAGGTTCCGCATATGACTATAATTAGGAGTGGCGGTAGGGGTAGGTAGTGTGAGATGAAATTGAGAGGAGAATGTAGCTTACTTTAAATTTAAAAAAATAATATAAAAAATTGTTCACTTTTCTGCATAACATATAACAGGCTATTAACAGCTTTTTTTTCCAGAATTTTTAATTCTTACTTTTTTACAACTTTTTAATTTTTTTTCACATTCTTTAATTATTACTTTTATTTCTTTTTTTGCAGAGTGATTCCTTGGCAATTGCCGGCCGGACGGCCCAGGTAACCAAGGTGACTTGGGCGGCGCGGTTCATAGTCTCAGTCCAGATGCGCATAACTTTTTTTTTTCCATCCCCATGCAGACGTTTGTGGCCTCTTTGGCGACATAAAAAACAGCCGCTGGATAGGAAATGTCTTGTCAAGCTAAGGCCTGAAAGCCAAGTGAGCTGATACCCTAACCCCCCACCTCCCACTAAACACAGTCTGGATCTCGTCCTGTCTGGGGGTATCGATTGTCCAGATGTGTTGGGTGTCTGCATCCCCAATAGCCATGCTTTTGTCCCAACCGTCGTAGTGGCAAGGGGGTCAGGAAACGGGGGGGGGGGGGGGGGGGGGGGGGGGGGGGGGGGGGGGGGGGGGGGGGGGGGGAGGGGGGAGAGAGAGGGGAGAGGGAAGAGAGAGGGAAGAGAAGGAGAGAGAAGGAGAGAGAGGGGAGAGAGGGAGAGAGAGGGGAGAGGGGGGCCGGGGGGATACTTCCAAACTTATCCACTCGTGTTTCGGAATCTTCCAAGTAGCCCTCTCAGGTCATGGAATACACTTGTACGACTGAGTTCTGGACGTAATTTTGCAGTCGGATACATCCAGGTCCTACCCTATTTGCGGTCCGATATGTTGACGAAAGTCGTAAGAGTGTGAGTAGTACTCTGTGCTTGCTCTCTGATGCACCATGAAGAGATTTTTATCGTACTTGCGGCGCATCCCGCACGCGGGGTAGGGGCACATTCGGTGCAGAGCGCACGCGCATGGATGCAGGCGCACGTGATATGCCACATCACCCAAAAAAAAAAAAATAACGAAAGGACAGGGTGGGGTGGCCAAACATTTCCCTTGCTTCTGAAAAATCAGAAAGCAAGAGGGATAAAAGTCGGTGCCACGCCATACCCCAATGCTGTGGGCACATGTCTATGCATGTGAGTATTCATGTCTATATTGTGTCCAGCCTCTTTTCCAAAGGGCCCCTACAGCAAATTAGCTAGGACCCCACGTGCAGCAGAGGTTTTTTTTTTTTTTTTTTTTTTTTTTGGAACTCCCTTCCAGTGCTAGAGGTGCTGGTAAGAGCAGACACCACTAGCACCTGAGGAGAGGTCCATCTATTGGTGGGGAGCAACACCTGCTGGAAACCGGGTCCGGCGTCCCTGATACAGACAAAGTTTGTGGTATGTCAGGAAAAAGGAGTGGGAGTCTCCTGCCAGCATTGATTACTCTGGGATCCAGAGGATTGACTGAGCAGGAGTTTGGGAAGAAGGAAAGGAGCGCCTTAAACCAGGCGCCAGATGTCTGCTACTAAAAACTAGCTCTTCTCCTTCTGCCCCTTCCCAATTGCAGTCTCGAACATTCAAGGGCCCAACGTCCCCTGCTGGAAAACGGGTCCAGCGTCCCCTATACACAGTGAATCAGGCGCTGATTGCTTTGTCCTCCAAGGATTTAACTGTGCGGGTTGCTTCAGACTGCACCGGATCGTCCGATCAGTCGTGCTTTCCTGGCAGCTTCCTGTGTTACTTGTCAGCCCGCCGCTTCCTTTCTCGGGCCTGTCAGTCCTTAGTCCTGCGTGAGGCCTTGTTCAGTCTGCACCGTACCATTGCATGTCGACCATCGCCAATTGGTGGGGTGGGAATGAATCGGGGAAGTCTGTAGGTGGTCATAGTGGTATCTCCTGTCCCACCGTAGTCCAGTCCCTGAAGTTGATAGCGTAGTCTCTTCGGAACTCATCCCGGTCGCATTCCTGGGCAGGCTTGCCGTCCCATCGGACAACAGCGATCCAGCCCCCGTTCACATTGCCCAACCAGTCCCCGGAGAACTGCTGAATTGCTTGTGTTATGTCCTTTGGTGCCTTTCATCCTGCTCAGTCAATCCCCTGGATTCCAGGGTAATCCATGCTGGCAGTGGCTGCTCTTATCAGCACCCCTAGCACTGGCAGGGGCGTTTTGGTAACAAAAAAAAAAAAAAAAAAAAAAGTCCTTCGGTGTATGCAACAGCTCTAGTTGGTTCTTCACTTTTTGCCACTGTACACGGAGTTCTTGTTGGATGTATTGCTTTATCATGTCTGATACCTCTTCCCCAGCTATGCGGACCTCCTCTATTGCGTAGGTGCAACGTTTTCTCCAAAGGGCCCACATGACTGCTCTCCGACCTAACGAACATATTATTTTTGAAGACATTGTCAGTGGGGGAGGACCAGGTTTCGCACAGTATGGCTCGCCAGTCCCATGGCCAGTTGGAGCTGGTATCCAGTTTGGACCAGATTCTGTCCCACCACCGCCACGTGAGCACCGCCCCCGGACAATGCATGAATATATGCTCTATAGTTTCCGGGAGTCTGCGGGAGGGGAAGGCGGTGTGGCACGATCTGCACCACAGTAGTGCCCGACCCTTCTGCGCTAGATATGTACGGTCTATCAGCCAATCGATTGTGGGCAGGCAGCGATGTTCTATCTGCCATTATAGTGAGGCCATCTTCGCTGGCCTGGACCTTGTGGCAGTGAACCATAGAGGGGGTGAACGTCCACGGGAGAAAGAACTGGTGCAGATGGAGGGCGCAAAGCATATGAAGGCAAAAAGAATGGACACCAATTTCGCAACATAAGCAAAAAATCTGTTTCGTAACATAGACCAAAGAAGAATGGCAAAATCCACATCACATTCCAGTCCTCARAAAAAAAAAAAAAAAAAAAAAAAAGAAGAAGAAGAAGAAAAGAAAGAAAAAGAAGAAGAAGAAAGAAGAATGCTAGGCCGAAAAGATAGGCAAGAAAAGGGAAAAAACATTCAAAAACGATCAAAAAACTTGAAAATAGAGAAAGAAAAAAACTCCAAACTTCCAAATTTTGAAGTTCGAAGTGAAATCCACAACCACATAATAATCACACAGACTAAGGGACAACTACAAAATCTGAAAATCACTAGCAATTCAGCTGAGAACGAACAGAGTGCCACAAACTCACGATCATTTCTCCATTAAAAGCTGTGCCAAGTTGCCAACAACAACAACAACAACAAAAAAAAAAAAAAAAAAAAAAAAAAAAACAGCTATTTCTACTTGACGTCAACAGAAATGGGGGGCGCATTTGCATTATTAAAGACAAAAAAATATAAATGGAGAAAGGCTTCACTGTTCAGTACAGAATACTTGTGCATCTTTCGACGAGTTCTCGAATGTCATAACTGACAAACTGTATAACATAATAATCATCTGAAGATCCAGTGAACCACCAGACGCGATGATCTGTATGCCTTCAAATTGAAACTTGGATTAAAACTTAAAAGATTAAAAAAAAAAAAAAAAAAAAAAGGATGGGGACTTAACCTATACATGCATTTCAATTCCAACAGCGTCAGAAGTTCAGATATGCCATCGGCAAACAAAGAAAAAAATCTGATACCAAAATGGTACAACCATAGTATCAAGCATGCACAACTGAACTCTGATTCTGTGCTTATGTGAGTGTTGCGGTGTGTGCATGTGTGTGTTTGAGAGAGAGAGAGAGAGAGAGAGAGAGAGAGAGAGAGAGAGAGACAGAGACAGAGCTCGAGAGAGATCAGGGTCCCTCACTTTGAAAAAAAGGCAGCGAGGGCATTGGTTGATGCTTTAGAGTCTGATGAGATATGTATGTATAGTCAAACAGAGCTGCCGGGCAAACCGTAGGCAGAGAGGGACAAGAGGGAGAAGAGGACAACAAATGAGGGGCTGTAACAAACTGTTTCGTCGGAGATTCACCGACTCATCAGGAGGCTGGATATATATATATATTTGGACTATTTTTCCTAGTATTATACTAATGTTCATTGCAATACCATCATTTGCTCTATTATATTCCATGGATGAGGTAGTAGATCCTGCAATTACTATCAAAGTGATTGGACATCAATGGTATTGGAAGATCCTATTCATGGCATGCTGGAATGTACCCGGCGCATTGCAAAGGCCAAAGGGCATCACTACAAACTCATACAAACCGTATCTGGTATGAAAAGCAGTCTTGTGCTGATCCTCAGGTCTTATTGCGATCTGATGGTAGCCGAATTTTAAGTTTATCTTGCTATAGTACTTACATCCCTGCACCCTATCCAATAGGTCGTCTATGCGAGGTAGAGGCTCTGCGT